TAGTTATTCAAAGCTTTCAAATTCTTCTTCTTCTTTAACGTTCAAAAGTAATTTGCATACATTTATAGCACCACAAGACGGTTTATCTGATAATGTCAAAATATTCGTTTCCTGAACATTTTGTGCGTAACTCAGGCGTTTGTGCATCATTATTTTTGTTATTAGAAATCTATGCAATGGTGGCATGTATGTTCTAGTCCCTGTCATATGTAGTGAGCCTGATCATAGTTGAAAGAAAACAAGGCTTGGCGTTTTTTCAGGAACAAAATATAATAATTTGTACACAAATTATTTTAGTTTTAGTCGTCCCTGCAACCTTCTTCAGTGTAAACTGAACATACTGATCTCTTGCGTAGTAGTTTTGAAATTTGCATGACAAATAAGGTTGTGCACATAAACTATAACTAACTTTGTGTATAAGCTCTACAAAGCGGATCTGTATTTATAATTGTTGTAATGAGTATTAATCTTAATGTCCAAATCATATTTGTAGATTGTGGAAAATGCCAAAAGCCCAAAAAACATGAACGAGTTTGCGGCACTGATAACAAACCTTATGCATCTGAATGTGTTCTCGAAAAAAGAAATTGTTTACGTGGTACGTCAATAGCAGTCTTAAATACAGGCAAGTGCAACAACAAAAACGCAGCCCCATCAAAAATTAAAAAGAATCAAAATTTAAACAGAGACCAAGAAGAAGAGGAAGAGGAGGAGGAGGAGGAAGAATCAGAGGCGCCAGAAGAACCACAAGCACAGTTTGATGGCCCAGAGCCTGAAGCTCAACAAGAAGCCAGTGATCCATTAGAACCGGCGAACCCACAAGAGTCAGAAGGCCAAGAACCAAATGCACAACAAGGAGGTGATCCTTCGGAACCGGAAGAACCTGAGGAATCAGAAACCACGGAGCCAAATGCACAGCAAGGAGGCAATGAACCATCTGAACCAGAAGAACAAGAGGAATCAGAAGCCACGGAGCCAAATGCACAGCAAGGGGGCAATGAACCATCTGAACCAGAAGAACCAGAGGAATCAGAAGCCACGGAGCCAAATGCACAGCAAGGGGGCAGTGAACCATCTGAACCAGAGGAATCAGAAGGCACGGAGCCAAATGCACAGCAAGGTGGCAGTGAGACATCAGAACCAGAGGAATCAGAAGGGATGGAGCCAAACGCACAACAAGGTGACAGTGAACCAGAAGAATCAGAGGGGAATGAACCACCTGAGAGTTCAAGTTCCCCAGTTGGTATGTAACATTTAAGAAATTATATCAAATGACATAGACGATTACAAAATAATATGCATTTGCAACTTCTTTCTCGAACGCATTGACCATAGGATTATGTAAAATGCACTTCCAAAAAAGAAAACAAAACAACAAAATACAAAGTGAAAAAGAATACCGACTCTTTTAGTATGATATAGGTTGCTCACACTATTTACCAATTTATAATTAATGTCCTCAGGAGGTCCACGTGGTATTGGCGTTGGGAATAGTGGAGCACCAGTTGACTGTGGAGCTGATTGCCCATTAGAATTAAAACCAGTTTGTGGAAGTGATGGTTTAACCTATCCTTCCGCTTGTGTCCTCGGACGGTATTCTGCTCTACCATCTAAACAAGACCTTGTCGTCGCTGATTATGGGTTTTGCAGAAGTAAGTTATTACAACCACATTTCCATAGAAACAGTGCTCCTGATGAGATGCTGATATTAGTGGTACACCAAACCATTATTATATTTAGTGTCGTTCAAATAAATGTTGATAACAGTCAACTATCATTATACAATTTGTGGAATGCAAACGTCACTAATCCTAATATTACATATAAAACCATACAAAGCCATAGACGATTGAGCTCCGGCATATATTCGTGAACTCATCTCACTCTCCACAATCACAACTCGCAGTTCATTCAACCAACTCCTACTGAAACCTGGACTACGCATTAAAAGAGCAAAATGTTGACAAATAAATATTGATGCACAAATTTCATATGGAAGACTGTTCCAGAGTTTTGAAGCTGCAACCAAAAAAGTCCTGTCCCCAAATGAAGATGTTTTAAAAGAGAACTAGCAACATGATTTTTTGTTCTAGAGTGGATTTTTGATATGCCATTAATAATAGAATCAACCTTAAAATCGTTTTTTGGCTATTTTTTTATGAAGTTATAGGCGATTATATACGATTTTACCAAGACGTCACTGGCGAAAAAGTAACAAAAGATCGTGTAAATAGCGCCGCGTAGGGTATCCATCGCGTAGGATATCCGCCGCGTATGATCTTTGCGTGCATGCTATTTTAATTACTTGTGCAAATATGAAGATGTGGGTAACTCACATCTTTATATACGACTTTTCATGGATCTCGACCTGCTATGTAGGCCCTCTTTAGGCTAGACCTGCCTAGACGGTTGGAAGCGACGATCGAAGAAAAACGGTTAAGCAAGCCAAGGACTTCCCTAACTTCCATTCCTCAGTATTAAAATCCTTCCATTCATAGGCACTGTCTAAAACTTTCTTCCAGCTTATCTCTGAAAAGATTGTAACCTTTTCGTCTGCAGTTGGCTCAACATGAATTACACAGGAGCCAGTGAGCTTCCATGACGGCCTAGGCTCGGACATGACACGTTGTTGTTTGTTGTTATTTCGCGACGTCATCCCTGTAAATTCATTAGCCACCATTAACTAAACTGCCTTAAAGAAAAAAAAAATCGGTTCGTGTGGGAATCGAACACACAACCTCTATGTTTGGTGTTCATTATCCACCATCAACTAAACTGCATATTTCCCTGCGATATACAACATTTTTAACACTTTAAATTTATTATTTGTCGTATTAAACAACATGGTAGGCCCAAAAAATAAAAATAAAGCAACATTTTTTTCTTCTGAAATTTCCATTTTTCGTGGCGGTGAGTGTGCTAATTGGCCAAATATAAATTTGTTTTATTCGAATCATCATTTTAGACAAGGTACAAAAAAGTGTGCAATATCTACGACCATACTACATCTGAAGATCAAGAATATAGAAGTTGTTAATAGTTTAAATGATTTTTTGTTCTAGAGTGGATTTTTGATATGCCATTAATAATAGAATCAACCTTAAAATCGATCTTTGCCTGTATGCTGTTATTAACAACATGGCTGTAAATTGTGATTGTTACAGCATGCACGCAAAGATCGTACGCGGCGGATACCCTACGCAGTGGATACCCTACACGGCGCTATTTACACGATCTTTTGTTACTTTTTCGCCAGTGACGTCATGGTAAAATCGTATATAATCGCATAAAACTTCATAAAAAAAATAGCCAAAAAAGATTTTAAGGTTGATTCTATAATTAATGGCATATCAAAAATCCACTCTAGAACAAAAATCATTTTGCTAGTACTCTTTTAAAACATCTTCATTTGTGGACAGGACTTTTTTGGTTGCAGCTTCAAAACTCTGGAACAGTCTTCCATATTAAATTTGTGCATCAATATATATTTGTCAACATTTTCAAAACAAAACTCGGAACGCATCTTTTCTTTTGATTTGTTTACAGAACTGGGAATTCCAATCTCTTTGAAACTAATTGTCTTTTGCGCTACATACATGTTCTTCTTTATTTATTTATTTATTTATTATTGTTATTATTATTATTATTATTATTATTATTATTATTATAATTATTATTATTGTTGTTGTTGTTGTTGTTGTCATAATTGACCATAACTAAAATGTGTCGATAACAATTTTATTTTCTTTTTTCCTTTGTAGCGACGACACCAGTTCAGCGTCCTTAAATTGATCTAACGCAAGCCGATAGTCTTTCTATTTCCTCAGTCAAGTGAACTAGGCCTAGATACATTCAAGGCAAATATAAAGTTTATTTTTAAATAAACGTAAACCTTTGTTTTCTATATGGTATGATCTGTATATATATATATATATACATATATATATATATATATATATATATATTTATATATACATATATACATATATGAATATATATATATATAAACTCTGTTTATGTGTTTCACTTTGTTTATTGATTGCTTGTTTTTTAGCTTGGCTATTGTCCCATTGTTTTATATACTCTTTGAGCCTTGTCTCACGTTATGTGTTTGTGTACTTGTCTTACATATGGATATATGTTTCAATTGCTTAGTTTACATGGACTATACACTTTAAAAAAGATAAAGACCTAGAGTCAATTTCATTATCAATAAAATCTGGCAAATTTATGCATTGTTTCCGAGTTTTATTTTATATATCGAACCCCGGTTGAGGCAACTTTTTTTTCGAACTTGCAGATTCTTATTTTAACGTTAAAAATTCTTATATTATTATAGCATTACTGCAAGATGGTTTCGAGTTTCTCTATTATATCATGATTTATTACAACAAAATCCCTTCGGAGATCATGTCTTGTCAAATAAAAAAGAACGTACAAGAGGACGTATCATGTTTATATTTGTTATTTGCCATGCATCAAGGACTAGTGCAGCCTGTCCAATTACGCAGGCGCAAAAGTGCGAGGAATATATATACTGTCTCTTATACACATCTAGATGTGTATAAGAGACAGAGGTGCTATAATTTAAATGAATGTGTAAACAATTCAAGATGTTAAACGAAATCATGAAAAATGCCACCATAATTAAAAGTAATTTCGAGAATTGCAGTTAATCGTCATGTTCACCATAAGCAAAAAAAGAGGATAACATGCGTATTTCTTAAGACAAGAACTTTTATTTAATATATAAATAAAAAATATATACATTTATTTAAATTAATTTAATTCAGGTTGACAGTAACCGTTTTCGTGCAAGCTCTGATTTGCAATATTTACAATTAAGAAATATAATGTATGCATAAAACATATATTAATATTGACGAACTTACTGTACAAGGTTCGTCAAAGTTCGTAGATGAGACTAGTACAATAGTATTTTGGTCAGAATTCAGACATTTAGAAACATAACTGATCTATATAATACATTTGTTGATTGTTATCCTAAATTATAAGGCCTATACAAACATTTATACCTACAAAAATATTCTTAAATGTTTATACAGTACAAGTCAGTTTAAGTCCTTCACGCAATTTAAGTCACTTCTCAAAACCTATTTGTTTCAATAGATTGTTGGTCATAGAGCGCTGTCAGACTGCAGTATAAGAGCGCTATATAAATTCTCAATATTGTTATTATTATTACAAGAGACTAGAATTATTGAATTCAACGCGATGCTTGAGAAGACTTCTTTATAATATTAATGATAACAACAACAATAATAGAAATAAAAGCAAAATCGCACCTACAGGAAGATCACAACTTTGTTGTAAATTCGATGAGATACGGTTACCATCTGCTGACCCACAAGTCGAGAAGGGCGATCGGACTGGATGACAAACCATGAAAATACTTCTGGATATATATAATTCAAGATTGTCATATATATATATATAGGCCTACGTGTGTATATATATAATACTGAATATAAAAGGGGACCATGTTGAACTCACATATGTGAAAACGCCCACAAATGTAATAACGCTCACAAGTTACACACCGCCCACAAATGTAATAATGCCCACAAATGTAACAACCAGTGCCCACAAATGTAACAAATAGCGCCCACAAATGTAATAACGATCATCGCCCACAAATGTGATAACACCCACTGTAAAAACAAAACATGACTTCTTCGCCCACAAATGTAATATTTTCTTTTAACTTCGAATGTAGGAGATAAGACTCGAAAATAGCCAAACCGTGCATCATGTGACAGAAGCATGACATTTTGAGCGTTTGAACAAAAACATAGAAAGAGTCATTTTCTAAAGGTCTGGGAGGAGTTAAAGGTCAAATGTTCTAGGTAGAGTATATTATGTGTCAAAGGTTATGTCATAATCTGAAAACTGTCACATCTGGTAAGCTTCTCCGTCAAATTTAAATAATAAACCCTTTTTTGCAGCATGCATAATGAACATAATTATTTAGGCCTATGTACTATCAAAATCAATATATGACTTCAAGTGACCTCTAACCCTCCTAGACGTTTAAAAATGGACTTTCCAATTCCATCAAATGAACTCATCAATATTTATTCGCGACCCAAACATTCGCGATCCATAAGTTGTGGAACGGAGATTGGGCCGATCCAGACAACACTGTCCTAGGGGGTCCGGGGGGGGGGGGGGGGGGGGGACTTTTTTTCGCGAAGAGCCAAGCATAGGGAGACATATAGAGCGCTCTGGTTGGCTAATGATAAGATGACATATTCGCACTTTTGTTTGACAGTCGCAGGGCATCTCGCAATGCGAGCAATGCGATACACGCCAACCAAACAATCCATGCAAATGCATGTAACGTGCCGAGTAAGCCTGATCTTTGTATGTATAACAGATTACAGTATTGGGAACATTTAGTAGGCTACCATTATAGTCACAGCTGAGCATACAACTCTAATACCCACTGCTACCAATAGGCCTAGAAAATATTGTAGTAGGGCCTACTATGAGTACAAACGAGGTCGTTTGCATAGTAGGGCCCAATAGTAGGCCTAGAGTTAGTAGGCCCTAGGGCAGTGGTGGCGCCAGGACCTGCCCGACGAAGGAGCTGAAGGCACCGACGGGGGGGGGGGGCTAGTGGAGCGAATCGAGTCTCACTTGGCTGGGGGCCAGGGGGGCCGCCTAGGGCCCCCAGTGGGGGGCCCTAGAAGCCACAGATATTTGATGAATTATGGCGAATTTTTATTACTTATGATAGGCATCGAGTTACTATAATATGACTTCATGTAGGCTGTGCTTTCTAATGTTGAAATCAGCTTCCAAGACCAAAACATTTTGAATAAAGCAAGAAACAAAGAGTATGCAATGTAACCATCTAATTTATTTTCAAATCCTCATTCTTGAAAGTGAAATTCTATATTTTGGAAATTTTGCATGAAATCTGTTAGCCACGTTGTCATGGTCGAGGTTGCTTCGCCTATCACGATGTATTCTAACCATCATGAGGCTATCTAAATGAGCATCTGTCATAACAGAACGCAAATTATTTTTAATTAGTCTCAATAAATTATTATTATTATTATTATTATTATTATTATTGTGGTTGTTGTTGTGATGAAAAGTTAACACAAACGATATGGTGGCTAAACGAATACTACATGTAAATATTTTTTTTTATTTGTTTGTTCCCGACAAAATTTATCGTCTTCCACAGCTGATCATACATCTCTAATACCCACTGCTACCAATAGGCCTAGGAAATACTGTAGTAGGGCCTAGTATGAGTACAAACGAGGTCGTTTGCATAGTAGGGCCTAATAGTAGGCCTAGAGTTAGTAGGCCCTAGGGATCACAGACTTTTAGGCGAGAAATGTTATACTGTACCTTGTTTATTGATTTCGAATATTTAACGCACCCTCCCCAACGAAAAATAGAAATTTTAGAAAAACATAAAAGTCTTAACTATTTTTATTATGGCTTTTACTCCCCTGAAATATCCACAAATTAGATAAATTTAAAGCATTTATCAATCTCATTACAACACTGTTTCAATTTATAATCAATGAAAATTTTATTTTCATTTTGTTCTTTACCTAAACGCTTTTGGCAAAATCATTTTTCCCTCCCTCTGACGGCTTCTACAAAAATAAGTTTACTAAACAAGGCATAGTATCATTCGAAAGTCTTTCATTTACCTACCTGTCTATGTCTGTTAATGGTAGCCAATCAATATACGAATAATGTATAGTGATAGTAAAGCTGTCAAAAGTTAGTATTCACAAAGACAGCAACAGTAATAATAATAATAATTATTATTATTAATAAAAGTTAGTGTATTGCACCACTTTAATTTATCTTTTCTTCCTCTGAATCTGTGCAGTATGAATATTACTTATTGATGGTGTCTATTTTATTAACCATATAACGTGTATTGTTGGTATTTGTATCTGTATTTTAAATGTATAAATCTAAGCTGGAAAGTCAACTTTCTTCACTACTGTACAATTATATTGCTCTCTCCTTGTGCATTTACACTCGCACAAATTGCGCATCTAAAAAAATTGAAACAATTAAATTATAAAATAGTCAATAATATTAAATCTGTTATGTTATTTTTCTTTATTGTTCTTTTTTTCGAATTATAAATAATAAAACCAGCTTATAAATGATATAATAAAGTGTGAAATTAACAGAGATAATTCACAGCTAATAAATTTAGGCAACCCTTAATTGTGTTTGTAAATATTAGCTAACAAATACAGTAATATAATAGTACAGAACAGTGAGAAAAGCAGATGTGTGACCATTAATACAATCATAAACTTTATCTATTTTTTAAATAAATAATGCAATATCTATTTTTCCGAAGTGGTACTGTTTAAACTATTACTATTATTTGGAAAGAGTGTAATTTACATTTTTTGACTTAGAAGAATAAGTTTTTTTCAAGGTTTTGGTTTTCTGTATACATTAGGTTATGGGAGCCCTTCTTTCTTTTTGCTTTCAAGAAGTACTCAGTGGAACATTTTTCAGCACAATGTCCTTTTTGCACAACCTTACATTACCCAACTGTGTCTTTCCTAAATGTTCTAAACTTATGTTGACATTACAGACAACATCTGGCTTTTTACTTTCCTACATTTGCTCATGTATTTTGGTTAGGCATTCATCTGGAATTGGCTGTGTTGAAGGTAGTGATGAGATGGTTCTATGCATTCTGCTATTCAATGTCTATCAGTCAACGTTCCATCCAGAAGTATCCCAAAAGGCCAAATTTCCACTCTGTAGTATCATTTCATGGACCTAAAAAACACGAGATTAAAGTATTTAATTGTGCTGTACTGTGCATCCATTTATTATGTCATGACACAACAACATCAGGAGTTTTTTTTTTTTTATCAAAAAAACCTAGGTTGCTACTTTATTTGTAGGTTGGTTGATATTTAAAAATATTACTTTATTTATCCAAACATCACATCTCAAACAATAATATAAGGTGGCCAAAGACCAAATTGCATGTTACTTGTGTTACATGATATTCATTAAAAAATGGTATATAGGGGCCTATAATAAAAGACTAGACTGTTAAATTGTTGTAACATCAGAAAAAAGTACAAAATAGAAAAATCAAAATGATAAAAAAAAATTACAACCAATAATTTGAGCAACTGAATAATAAAGAAAGGGGGCATCTCACATTGCCAAGTTTGCTGTTAGTCAAGTATAACATTATAATTTTTAAATTATAATTATAATAAAAAGTATTGGAGAGCTGTGGAAAATAGGCCATGGTCTAAGCCCTAGCTAGTAGTAGTATAGTTTGGTAGTAGGGTAGTTATTTATTAATAATTATTATATTACAGTATTGAGGTGTAATGAAGGCGAACTTGTCATGCAAACTAGGCCTCTAGGCGTGTTGCACAGTGGCGTATCTAGCAGT